TTTCTTTTAAAAATATTTTCATTTTTGGAATGTATACTTTTTGTTGGTTAATTGTGTGACTTTGCCTTACTTAAAGACAACATTCGTTGAGGTGAGCTCTGTAATCTCTGATTACCTATGTTTTTTTAAATTAGTATTGATGGAAAAAAAGACATTAAATGAAGATGTATATGCTACTGTTATAGATGATAACAGAATCATAATAAGAATTGGTATCGTTTGTTGTTTCAGTCTAGTGCTTCCTCGTTAGAGTCAGAGAAAGAGAGACAGGTGTATCACACGTTACAGCTGCCCCTCAGATCTATCCTCAAAAAATCATCCTCATCCTCAGCTCTATCAGACAGGGCCAACAGCGAAACCAATCTTCAGTGTAAGTTCTTCTTCATCAATATTACTATCAACATCAAAATTACTATTAACATCGACATTACTATCAACATCAGAATTACTATCAACATCAGAATTACTATCAACATCAACATAAATATCATCAACAACATAACTGTCATCAACATTGTTATTAACATCATCAACAAGTATAGATTTGTCAAATGAATGTTTTGTTTTTTTTCTTCAGCTGAAATTACTGCTTACTATAGAAAATTGGCCAGTACCAAGAAAACCAGTATTTGTGAAGATGCTCCTTATATCCTTGATGTAAGTATGAGGGTCAAAATACATATTACTATGTAGAGTGCCTTCTCGGTAATACAGAGTAAATGTTACAGATATACCGGTAACAAATTTTTATGTAGATCAAAAATGTAGCTTTTATATTTCTCTTTTTTTCAGAAAAGAAGCTTTACTAATCTGGCAAAGAAAGTTAGACTAGTAAGTATGTGTAAGGTTACCATTTCTCTGTATCTTTTTGATACATTCAAACATCACTATCTTGTTTTGCTGGTTCCTAAATAATGCCTGTCCTTGTTCTTTTCACTAGCCTCCAGAACCAGTAAAGATTAAGAATCTTACTACAGAACAAGTGAGTGCTAACACTTAATTTATTCAAAAAATACATATAAATATATTGTAAAAATAGTTTTAGTAACGATAAATTCTGTTAATTTCTTTTACGACATTTATCTATGAAAATAGATTTTAAGTGAATCTTATAAGGATGTATAATCATTATGGTTATTTTTGAAATGAAAAAAAAATACAAGAGTAACATTTTAAATCTAAAAATCATATAGAAGATTTATCCCAGGAAGAATATTTGTTTCTACAGTATCAAAGTTATTGCAAGTAAAAATTCTGATTCTACAGTATATAACTTATTCCAATGAAAATTTCTTTTTTAACAATATCAAACAAGTCAACATAGACATTCATAGTAGCATTCACACAAGACATAGAAAATACAAGTTTATTTATTTTTAGATACTTGTATCTCAACAAGAATACTAAACTGCATCTTGACAAGTATATGAAAAATTATAATTGGTTGAATTTTGTCCTTAGCAAGAAGAGTGGGAGGAGCAAAGACTTACAGATCCAATAGAATGGGAGGGAGTTCAGATAGACCCCGCCCCCTTCCAGCTGGTGGAGAGAACTTCTCTACACAAGGTACCATGCTCAATATTTAAAAATATTGAATATCTACAGAAAAGTTGGTAATAAATTTACCAAAAATAATTTTTTTTCAAGTATTTTGATGTGCGTATTTGATATTTTTTTTGGTACTTGTAGGTCCATTCTTTGTTTTCTTTGTTGGGCATTAATCATGCTTATGTCACCAATACTGGGAGACTTGTTGGAGTGGTGGGATTAAAAGAGGTAAGTTTTATTCACGTATTTATCAAGATATTAGTACTCAGCATCCATGATAATGATTAATGTTAGCATATAAATACTGTATCTGTGTAAATTTTGGCCATCAAATTCTCTTGCGCTTTCAAAAAAAAGATCCTTTGACATAAAAAGATCATCAAAATCTTGTTAGTGTATCCAAATGAAAATGACCACAATTTCTGATATTCAGCTAAGAAGAGCCATTCAGGGAAGAATTGATGCTCAGGCCAAAGGTCAAGATGAGACAGAGGATGAAGAAGTTGAGGAGATAGATCCTCAGAACCTGGAGGTGGAGATGCCTCAGCCTCAAAACGAATACAGACTGGTTAACACCTCTAACGAGGAACTGCACGGAGTGCTAGTGACTAAGGACGAGTGACTTGTTAACACTGCTAACGAGGAACTGCATGATGTGCTAGTGACTAAGGACGAGTGAGGACCACACACAAGTGTGGATTCATGTTATAGTGCAGATGTGATACAATTGTCATGTGAAATTTTGTCAACTTTTAAAGATCTAGCTTTACTTCTGAGTCACTTAAGGTTTGGGAAAATTCATATACTCTACCATGAGAAATTAATACCAAAAAAGTGTGTTCATAATAGAATTGAATGATATCTTCCTTGATATGTGTTCCACAGGAAAAAAAATGTTTTCACCTTTTTCAATATCTCAGGATTCATTAAATGTTACAGAGCCATAATGTCACATTGTGACCAAATTGTATGCATTCCTTGTTAAATGTGATTTAACACAACATATGTTAATATGGTTTTTAATGGTTGTTCCAGAAATACATTCCTGCAGCCATTTTAAAATTTTCCTTATCAAGGAGATGCTCAAAGAACTGTCAATAAATCTTCACACATATTTTTATTTTATGCATTGTATGATATTTTTTTCTCATTTAAGAATCTCATTTTTTGCTTAATACACATGTAAATAAATCATTGCAAGTTTATTTTATGAGCTATTTTAATGATGCAAAAATCTGTGCCAATGTGCCAAGTTCAATATGCAACAAATGTGTACTCAGTGAGCGGGAACAGAAATATTTTTTTTGTACATGTTGTGCGTATTGTGTGATTGAATCATATCTTGATTTGTCTTACATTTAATATATGTATTTCGACAGAAGACCCTTTTTTGTGAAGTATTACAAAGACTTGAGACTCAAATATTATTAAATATAGCACAAATAACATGCAAACCAAGGAGGGGGAGGGCACAATTATTGCCCGTTTTTCTTGTGTATAGAGGGCCAGTAAGAGAGAAGGGGCTTTATCCTTGATGGAGCTGCTAGCTGACACCTGTAGTTATTTTCACTCACACACATAACATGGCAGTCTACAGGGGATCTTTCTGTAAGTTTTTTGTCTGTTTGAAACACTGTAATGACTGTATACTTGCTTTAATATCTTATAAACAAAGGAGCTTAAACACATTGCTCAGGTGTTTTATGGGAATTTCTTAGTGCTTTATAAAAAAAAAAGTCATTATTCTACATACAACAACAACAAAAAAGGACAAAAAACAGATCAAAAGATTTTAAATAAGTAGAAAAATTTAATATTTAAAGGATTTTTCCAAAGCTCTGATTGTTTTGCATGCATCAATTATTTATGAATGTTACATTATTCAGAATTCTTCATTTGAAATAAAAATGAGAAGCGGGCATTTTCTTCATTGGTCTTTCTGATTGTGAAGCAGCAATATAAATGTACAGTGATGTTTGAATACTTGCAATGGACCATGCTTTAAAAAGCTAGTCAGTGTCAAATACCATTAAATAATAGCAAACATGCTGGAAGAAGGTACTTAAATTAATGAATGAATTGTTGTTTTGTCATTAAACAACAAATTTAATTTCAAAATGATGATTAACATATTGTTATAAGTTATGTATGTTGTTTTAAAATGTTTGTTGATATTTTTCACTTTACCTGTCTTTCATGAATTTTTAAGACACGAGCATTAATATTGGAAGATGTTTGTCTTCCATGGCATTTTGTATTGTGCTTTTTTACTCGATGCCTTAATAATAATGTTCACTGGTCACAATTGTGAATAATGAATGTCACAGTTGTTTTGAAATTATGTGATACAATTCATTTTTGACTTAACAAAGAGAATATAAATTCATTGTTGTTTTTTATATATCACATTAGCATCATTGCCATCACAGTAATATATTTTGTGCTTCTGATTTTCTATATTTTATGGCCTTCTAATACATTTTTATCCTGTTAACTTTCAAAGTAACTCAATGTAACAAGAAATTTAAGATACAAATGTTCTCCTTAGAATAAATAATGTTACAAAGTTGGAACATTTTTTTGTGTATTTAAATCTTATTCAAGAAAAAACAGTGAATGGAGAAAGTCCACATTTCAAGTCAACACCAACCACCCCGTCCTCTTTTTTATTATGTGTGGAAGCTGGGGATATGAGGCATTGACTATAATGGTCAGTTGACACCCGAGAATATATCTTTATCTTTTTATACGCCCGTCTTAAGACGGGACGTATTATGTTATAGGCTTCGTGTCCGTCCGTCTGTCCGTCTGTCTGTCTGTTAGCTTTTCGTTTCCGGCTCATAACTTTAAAACTATTAGGCCTAGGATTATCAAACTTTGTCATCTGATGCATCTTGGGTAGAAGGTGTGTCGCGCACAAAAAGTAGGTCGCTCTGACCTTTAATTAAGAAGATATAGCCAAATATGGAAAAATCCTTTCCGGCCCATAACTAGAAAACTATAAGACTTACGATCATCAAACTTGGCCAGTTTATGCATCTTAGGTAGAAGGTGTGTCGCGACCTATTTCAAGGTCACTGTGACCTTTGATTTAAATGAAATTTTAAAAAAAAATGTGTCTTTTTACTATTCATTTACACATCCCAAATAAAGTAAGAGTATTGCACTGTCCTTATTAAAAAAGTGTTAAATCAAGAAAATACTTATTTTTTTTAAAGCATATACTTGACAGCAATCTATAACAAATATTATGTATGTTAAAGAAATCCTACCTCTCCCATGAGTGTAATTATCAAGCACTGGTCAAGACTCAAGAAGAATTTTGATAACAGAAAATTGCATGTCAAATTAGAGAGAAATTAATGAGTTTTGAGTGTGAGGAGTTCGCTAATAGCTAGAGCATGGTGTTATCTATATCCCTTGAGTATTGGGCAAATGTGTGAGCCTGTTGGATTAAAAATAGCTCTTGCTGGCTAGCCTAAGTTTTAAAATAAATTTAATGAAAAGTAATTAAAACTAATTTAATATTGCATAGTAGAATAATCTTATATTATATAAAATTGTTAATTTATAAAAACTAATTTTATGGGATTGGGGTGGAATCAGCATGTCCATATGAATTTTATATTAAAACCTGTCGGACATTAAATGTCAACCAGAAAAAATCTTTGAGTATTTCATATGTTTTTAAAAAAGTTATGGTAGATAGTGCAGACCCATTCATCTATTGGTATTAATGAGTAGACAAGCATCCAGTTCAAGATTAATTAATGAGTTCAGGCTAGCTGTCTTAATCACTCTGATCAAGCTGTATGATGACCTTTGGGAATTAGAACAGAAGAACTGTTGGTTAGTTTACAGCATATGTCATTTGATGGCCAGCCTTTTCTTTTCAAAATTAATTTGATAATGATTAATTTGTTAAGACTAATTTGATATTGTTTAATATGATGGGCATTTGACAAACACAACCAGCATAAAAATCCATCAATGATGTAATATTTGTTATAACTAATGCTTACATCACAGGGGATGGATAAATATTTTTTAGGAATGGAAAAATCATGGAAATTTAGAATCAGGGTTGACGTGATTGCAAGCTAAACTGTTGAAGAAAATTGTAATTTTTGACGGGCGTATCATGCTGTGGCGCGGCACTTTATTACTACAGTATGAGATTGCAGTGAGATTTTTCAAGATGCAAGAACAGATGAGGGTCAGATTTGTTAAAAAAAAATCTCATTTTTCACGTATATAATATTTATAGTTCTATAATTAACTGAAACAGTTTACCAGTATCAACAAGATGTGTTTGTGAAACACTCTTGTTCCTGAACAGCAACGTTTTGCAAAGGTTAAAGTCTAAAATGCAAGTTAGACTTTAAGGTCAAGGTCAAACATGTCACTACCCAAAGAGGAGTTGTGTCAATAAATATACAAAAATATATGAAAGCTCAAGCACCGACAATTCACTGCTAGGTCTATGTCAATGTGTCTGACTTGATGGTACTCAGGGGATGGCATCGTCATTAGAAATATAAAAACCCTAGCACCAATTGTTAAAAAGTTATGGTGAAGGATAGAGTTTTTTTTCAAAAGAAGGTCAAATGTTGATATCCTAAAGAATGTTTTATCACAAAGAATACATCTGTGAAATATGACAGTTCTAGAACTAACTCTTCAAAGGTAAAGCCTAAGGTTAATAATTTTAAAAAGTAGGTCAATCTCTAAGGTCAAGATCAAAAAGAAATTTAAACAAATGGAAAGGTCTTGCTAAAATGTATATGGTATACATATGAGTTATGTAATATACAGGATTAAAATTTTTAAAAATACAAGTTGAACTTCAAGTAAGAGTTCAAAATTGTTGGTACCCAAAGAAAGGTCATCTCACTAGGAATATATCTGTGAAATATGATAGCCCTAGTGCTAACAGTTCAAAAGTTAAGGTCAAGATTTTTTTTAAGTGGGTCAGACTCTAAGGTCAAGGTCAAATGTATTTTTTATACTTAATGAAAGTTCTTGTCACAGTGAATACACATGTGACGTACAATAGCCCTAACACCAACTATTTAAAAGTAATTGCTATGGTTAAATATTGGAAAATTTTGGTAATAGTAGGGCAAACTCCAAAATCAAGGTTAAATTTGTTGGAACCAAAAGAAAGATCTTGTCACAAGGAATACACAAGTGAAATATGAAATCCATAGTCCCTTCCACTCAAAGGTTATGGAAAAGGTTATAGTTTTTGTGGACAAACAGACGGACAGGGCAAAAACAATATTTCCCGAATTTTCTTTTACAGGGACATAAAATCTGCAACAAATTAGGGGGCCTGTAAAAACGTCAAGGCAATCTTGAAAACGTTTCGTTTGTAGGTGTTTTTTAATGTTTGCCTAAAAATAATTCCAGAAATTTGCAATGCGTTTCCGACATTTTAGATCACCTTAATGAACATCTTCGCAAACCAAGGGTTTTCGGTCCACTTCACTCCCCACAATGGAGTGAAGCGGACCGAAAACCCTTAGCTTGCGAAGATGCTTAATGAAAGGGGGGGCTTATGTGATACCGTCTGCGTCCCAAGTTTTAGTTTTGGGAGCATGTTTCATCGAATATGAAATGCATGGAAGGTGTTTGTAGTAAAGATTTTTTTAACCAGTGAAGGTTTCAGATGCTACAATTTCAGCCTCAGCTAAAGAATCTTTTAGAGCAGGTCAAAGATTTGGAGCATGTCTTTTTAAATAAATATAAGCCTTAATTTTACCAAACTCGCATGGATGATACATCTTAAGGATGCACATAACCATGCTTCGGATGTTGGATCTGTCCTACTTTTTCTGGACGAATGATCACATTAAAGTTTTTGATCATGTATCATTTCTAAATAACTACAGTCCCTGTTTTGACCCAACTTGCAAGGGTCTAGATCTTGAAAGGGGGGGGGGGGTGGCGAGATACCTTCTTTTTTGCATATCAACAAATTTCTGGGTTTGATTTTTTTTCACTGGAGTGGTACCCCCATCCCCACCCCCTGGACAAAAAATCCTGGATCGCGCCTGGATGATGCACACAACTACGTTTGATTCAGATGCTATATCTTACCAACATTTTCCAAATGAGTGACCGCGGCCGGGTTAAAGTTTTTAAGCATTAATTATTTGAGCTATACCTGGACTTAACTTTTAAGGATGATAATCTAAGACTGCACACTCGGCTTCGGACGCTGAATTTAATTGAAATTTACCCAAACTTTTAAATGTTAATATTGAAAGATATATTCAATTCTGTTCGATATAAATGAACAGTACTTTAATAAAATTTTGGAGTATGTTCTTCCCCCCCCCCCCTTCTCTCTTTTAGATCTATTAAAATAAATTTTAAGATATAAATTGATTTGTTTCTGCCTCCGGACAAAATCAGTGCTACATGCTCTGTAGCGTAAAAGATTCAGACCAAATTGGAAATTCTATCGTTAAAAAATAGTGTTTAAAAATTTAATATACTTCTGCTGTAAATGTTTTTCATAATTTTGAAATAATTCCAATCCATGTCCTTGAATTAGATCTACCCAAGTGTGTCGGGCATGTAAAAAGATAACACGTCTCCAATTACAAGTTTATAATAGCGAATATAAGGAGTATTTAATGAGATGGGTCACTTCAACTTAGGAAAGTTTCTTTCGATAGTTGTTTTCCATATAGGAACTAAATTTTTGTAAGTTAATTATAGAAATGATTGTTGGTATAAAATGCTAAAAATAGTCATCAATTGAACAGTTTGACACGCGCTTAAATCTTATCCGAGTTGTATTTTAAGTGATATTGGATTTTAAAACTGCACAGTTTGTTATCCGGAAATGAATCACTGAGAATCCCCGTACAGGTAAAATTGTCCCACCTTTATTTGATAACGAGAGCCAGGAAGTATGGAAAATGATCACATCCGTTAGAAAGTGTTTACTACAAAGGTAAGTCGTGGTATTACATTGAATTGATTCTTTTTTCTTAAATAAAAGATGGTTTCTTTAAAAACAGCATTTTAAGGAAAACTCTCTCTCTCTTTTTTTTTCTCTCTCTCTCTCATGAGTGTTGGAAGGGGGTTTTAAATCAAATTGCAATACTTCTCGCCTTTATATTAATTACAACCAATTCTGAAATGTAACAATGACCTGTCTAAGTTTTGTGCTTCATCTTATCTTTATATGGAATAGCTAGTGGTCAAATAGTAAAAATTTATAGGTTATTAAAACTCCAAATAGTAAACTACTTAAGAAATGAATGATATATACATGTACATCTACATAAAGTACATGTGCATGTACTGGTTGAGATGTATATTATGAAATGCTTTTACAAGTATTCAACGACGATGCAAAACACTGTAAACTGTAGAATACATTCATTAACATAACTGCCTTTCGTCAGCCCTTTCCTCATATTTATTACACCCCAATAAAATAATAAAAGTTAGTTTAGTCGATATTGACAGACGAGTATCTCTGTAGAATTTGAGGCTCTATCTGAAAAACACATTAGTTTAACTTTTAAAAGATATGTTTGATGAGGTTATTTTTTCATGATATGTCATTTTTTGACAGAAATGTCGTTTAAACCTTTAAAAACGTCACTGAAATTTAATGTACATAGAGTATGGCGATTTTTTTTTTTATTTTAATAAAGAAGTAAGACAATAAATGCTTAAACAAACTGAAAATTACTGCGAGTCGTTCACACGAATAACAAACATCAAAAAATATAGTAGACTCAATTTGTTTGATAGATAAGAATGAATGATTCATTCGCAAGCAAGAAATAAGATTTATACGTTGTCGCACATGTTATAACAGTGTGATTTTGTTTAATGAAGTCAGAAAGTTGCCAAATCAGCTTGTTTACATATAAGTTAATTTATGATCGTCAAAACTTGTATTGGTTATGATAAAATATAGAATAATCCTGTAATCCGATAACATCATATCGACATTAAATCAGTAAGAACCAGACAGCCTTTTTAATTGTTTGGTGCATTTTACGCAAGGACTTACCCTAACATAAGCACACAATTGATATACAATATACATTATAAATAAGGCAATATCATATTACAGCTGATACAATTTTATTCTTGAGACATGGACATGTTATTGTACAGACTGAATTTCCTGTCCGTTAAAAAATATATTTAAGTGGGGATATGTCAGTTTAATATAATGCTCGTAAATTCATTAACTTATATACTGTTTTTAGATATGGACACATTATCGGCTGTGAAATACTCCAGACTGAGTACTAAAGATGAAAGTGATTCTCCTTGCACATGCATTGCACTGAAGAACTATGGATCATCCGGGTCGTCACGGCACCAATTTCCAATCAATGGACATTTAAATCCGCTAGATGTTGAAAAAACTGTAAGCGCAACGCGTTAAATGGCTAAAAGAAAGATTGCTCCAAAATTATATTCCAAAACTGAATCGTTATTTTCTATTTTAGGAATACCCACCATCAAATGAAAGTGATCTCATACGTGTTCATAAACCTCTTAAAGATAGAACGAAATATGCCCTTCTTGCCTGCTTGTTTTGTTTTTTCCCAACTGGAATAATGTCTATCGTCTATGCATCACAGGTATATATATTCAAAAGATCATAACTTTCATCTGACCTACACTCAAATTTTTTTTATCCGAAATAGTACCAACAATAGAATTTTCGTAAATTACATATTTATATAAATTTATAAAATACGAGAAAGACCAATAAAAAGAAAAAAAAAATTAATATGTTTTTTTATTTAGGCAAGATCAGCATGGGAACGAGGTGAGACGAAGAAAGCGCGGGAAAAATCGAGCTTGTCCAAAGACTTTATCCGTGCATCTGTCTGTATTGGAGGAATAGTGTACATTCTGATATTCTTAGTTATTCTAATTACTGTCATTTTCAATGTACATGCTTGATATACCTATCATTTACATGTAATGTGGATATACCATTTAGTCTTTCTGTAAACTCGAAAAGGAACAATATTTTGATTTGTATGGTCTACATAATGGAGATAATATTGAAATTGAAATGGCATTTACTATATTTTCTTCAATTATGCAACTATATAATGCTGTACACAAAAAAGGAAAGTTGCATTTATTGTTTATAACTGACAGAAAACACAGATATTCATAGTTTGAGTTTAAAGATGTTTTGCATTTAGGAGGTCAATCTCGGAATGCATTTACGGATATGTATAAGAAGGGCAGTGTAAAAATGTAAATTCGATTTTTAAAAATATTTTACACTTGGAGTGAAAACATGAATGCAGATGCAAATTAAATCCATTTACATTATTTATTTATTATGTGCAATCAATATAAAGTGTTCATTTGTACAGTGGGTTGCATTTTCATTTTTTAGGGCCCCGCTTGGCGGGCGCCCTATAGTGATCAGTCTGTCCGTCCGTCCGTCCGGCTGTCCGTCCGTCCATCTGTCCGTCCGAGATCTCTTGTCCGGAGCATATCTTCTCTCCCCTTGGCCCAATCTGGCTCATACTTCACCCACAGAGTGCCTTTGGGTAACCGGTGTGCAGTGACCTTGAACCATGTTTCTAGGTCAAAGGTCAAGATCAAAGCAGAATTGTATGTAAAATCCTTGTCCGGAGCATATTCTTCTCTCTCCTTGGCCCAATCTGGCTCATACTTAATACACAGAGTGCTTTTGGGTAACCAATGTGCAGTGATTTTCAATCGTGTTTCTTGGTCAAAGGTTAAGGTCATAGCAGAATTGTATGTAATATCCTTGTCCGGAGCATATTCTTCTCTCTCCTTGGCCCAATCTGGCTCATACTTAACCCACAAAGTGCCTTCGGGTAACCGATGTGCAGTGACCTTGAACCATGTTTCTAGGTCAAAGGTTAAGGTCATAGCAGAATTGTATGTAATATCCTTGTCTGGAGCATATTCTTCTCTCTCCTTGGCCCAATCTGGTTCATACTTCACCCACAGAGTGCCTTTGGGTAATCGGTGTGCAGTGAGCTTGAACCATGTTTTAAGGTCAAAGGTCAAGGTCCTAGCAGAATTGTATGAAAAATCCTTGTCCGGAGCTTATCTTCTCTCTCCTTGGCCCAATTTGGCTCATACTTTCCCCACAGAGTGCCTTTGGGTAACCAGTGTGCAGGTCAAACCATGTTTTAAGGTCAAAGGTCAGGGTCATAGCAGAATTGTATGAAAAATCCTTGTCTGGACCATATCTTCTCTCTCCTTGGCCCAGTCTGGCTATTACTTCACTTACAGAGTTCCACTTGTCAATGGATGTGCAGTGACCTTGGTCAAAGTTTCTAGGTCATGGTCAGAATTAGCCTTTCTGTTTAAAATATTTGTTGTTGCATAATTTTTTACATTCGACATATATCTGTAAATTTGCAATATCTGTGAAGTCATATGAAATGACTTTTACTGTATTACACAAATGCTCCTCTTCAAAATAAACCCTTTTAAACTACCTTACATTTTTATGTTCATTGTTGAAAGCGGGACCCTTTGAGATAGCCACCATCTCAATGATATCTAGTTTATGCATGTTATTAAAAAATGTTGTTTTCATCAAATGTTAAAAGGCTTCAATTGGGACATTTTCTAATAGTTTAGACTGCAGATACTGTCAGATACTGATTATAAATTACAAGACAGCAATAAGAATTACATGATTCTTGTGTCATATATTTAAAAAAAAATATACATGCAAAAACAGAAATACATGTATTTCAGCATGTCTTTACAAAAATATGGTCTTTTCACGACATCCATGGCAGTGAATGCTCTTACTTGGAAATGAAACTTGCACCAAAAACGGAAAAGCGTAGGTCAGATTTAGCATCCTAAGCAAGTCTAGTGGTTTGCTTCCTTAGATATATCACCTATGCAAGTTTAGTCATTATAAGGCCCATAATAACTTTGAAATCCGGTAAATGTAGGTCAGACTCAGCATCCGAAGCAAACCTGGTTGTATGCATCCTTAGATGTATCCTCTTTGCAAGTTTGGTCATTATAGTTTACTTGGAAATGAAACATGCGCCAAAAACTTTTATCTGTTCACTCATTCGGAAGTCATTCATGCAAAGCTCAACATAGGACTCATTGTTACTTGGAAATGAAACCTGCAAAAAAAAACTACCCTTTTCACTCATCTAGAAAATGTAGGTCAGTTTCAGCATGCGAAGCAAGCCTGATAGTGTGCATCCTTAGATGTATTATCCATGCAAGTTTGGTCATTGTAGGGCTCATAGTTTCTTGGAAATGATACCTGCACCAAAACTTTAACCGGTTCACTCATCCGGAAAATGTAGGCCAGATTCAGCATCCGAAGCAAACCTGGTAGTGTGCATCCTTAGATGTATTATCCATGCAAGTTTGGTCAACATGGGGCTCATAGTTTCTTGGAAATGAAACCTGCACCAAAACTTACACAAAAAACTGCACGAAAAATGTTTACCTACTCTTACAAAAACTAACCCGTTCATTCCTATGCTGAAATTGCAGCATCTGAAACCCTTACTGGTACAGTGAAAGACACTTATAGGCGCCGGAACCGAGGGGGGGGGGGCGGAGGAAGCGCCCCGCTTTTTTTTTTTTTTTTTTTTTTTTGCAAAAATAGACATTTAGGGGTCTATTGGGGTTTAGCCCCCCCCCTCCACTTTCGATTATCCCCCCCCCCCCCACACACACACACTTTCAATTTGCTTCCGACGCCCATGACACTAGAAGCATCTTCAATGCATGGCTACTCAATATAGGGCATAGAAGTACTTTAAAAGTAAACTGCTCCAAATAACGCCGACGTTGAGAGTATCACATAAGCTCCCCAAACAGTAATCGCAAACTGAGCGTCTTTAGAGGGACTACTAAGCATACTAAAATTGCCATACTGTTTTTAAAGGTGAATATTTTAATCTACACTGTATTTGTATTTAAAATGTATTGAAATTATATGAAAATAAAAAAAAACAACTTAAAACTATTTTTAACATATTGGTTGAAACGCTCTGGTTACATAGAACTCGAGGAATTCTACCTAAAATGTTAAATGATGCAAACATTAAATCACTTTATTGTCCCTTTAAAAAGTGTAACTCGTCTGTTTTTTAAAAGTGAATAAAAATGTATAGTTTTAATTAATGAAAATAGAATAATGCTAAAATTTTCAATCTGTTTCGTAGAAAGAGGAGCACTTAGGAGCATTAGTACATAAGTACTTTAGAATCTAGGAACTAACATGGCCACAGATAATCAGTTAAGATAACATCTGTTAGCAAATCTAACGTCAAGTGGAATTATACTATTCTAGAACAATGGCACTTTTGCAAGGAATTGTAGTTTTAGCAATTATTTCAATTGCAAACATTAGTCAAGTTAATGGTGCTTCAAATATTACAACAACGATAAACAATCTATTCAAGAAACTCCAGGATATGCAAGCTACAAGATACAATCCAGGAATTCCGCCATTAATTTGGACTAAATTTCCCGGGGTTTATGAAAGTGACGTCAAAATGTATTTTCACGGTGCCCCCGTGGACGCTGCCCTTCGATACTCCTTTGGAGTGTTTGATAACAACATGTTCGCCACAGCTTGGGTAACAACTTGTCTGATTGAGGCACACAAGTATGGGAAGGCACCAAAACCAACAACGCAAATGCTAGACTTAGCCATTAACTTTATAATGGATCATCGAAACAAAAACGCGAAATATAATAACTCTATCATGGCATTTTGGCCCCAAATATATGATGAATCATATAAGGTTTGTATAGCATCTCATTTTGTTAGAATGTCCTTTCCTATAGGATTTTCTTTTACATTCAGTGCTAAACTTAAAACACACGGGTGGAAAAATAAATACGAAAACACTGAATCTTTTTTCTACAGGATTTTACCAGTACCCCTGTCAATCTGCTAGGTCTTTTTAATACCACCTCTCTCATTGACTGGGATCCGATTTATAAAGAGCTCGATTCTCTTGGTCTCCAACACGTCACAGAAACCATCAAGCACCTCCTGGAAAGAAGGTAAGAAAATACCTTTTTGAATTAATGTCTAATGATATTTATCTGATTTATAAAGTGAATGGATCATCTTACTTTGGTTTTAGGGACGGATACCGGCATGTTTTTCACATTCCTCCAGATTTTGACGACACGTCCGTAAACTTGGGTTTAGGTTCACTTCTGAAGGAGTACATTACCGACTTTCCAGATTCCTCCGTTTTGTGGCAAACCCACAATTCAAATCTCTCATCCATCTTTAATGCGTTGAAACACTATGCCTATAAACCAACCACAAACGATTCAAGAGTGAATACGATAGACACGCGGACATACTTCTATATGAGACGTTTTCTGGAGAAAGCAACGTCAGAAAGAAAACCAGTTGCATTGATTACAACTTGGGTAGGTTGTGGATGGATGTATATATATAACTCACAAGACGTACAAATCTATGAAATAATATTTTTACTGATTATTTTCTCCCGCAGATTCAAGACTTTAACGACCTTAAAACTGAGTATGACAAAGGTGTAGTAACACCAGGTGACGTAAACAATGTTGACGTCACGGTGTCCGCAAATGCTCTGTATGGAATCACGAACAGCATTCTATCTGGTCTTGTGACTACCGAAATCCTGGAGGATCCCGAAATACAGGTTTTAAAAAAAATCACTGAAATCTCAGGTGTAAATGTATATTGTTTTAGCAAGATATCAAACGTTATTTATATTTTTGCTTCGCAGCAAATCTACTTGAACACTTCTACCATGATCACCTTCCAGATCAACACTAACTTCTCTTCTCGTCCAGATCTCGCGTTAACTTACTACCCCTCAGTAATGGAGTTTTACTGGTTCGTGGCACGGACATATAATCTTCTGAATCGCAGATATCGTACCGGTGGTCTTCCACACCCTGTAAAATGACTTATGTTCTAGTTGTATTTTATCCTCTCTGATTTTTATTCCATTTATACCTTCTAAGTATGACTGTGTCCCTAATCCTTACGTCTTTTTTTGTTCAGGCAATGACAACGGTATTGCATGAGTTAGAGGAGGCATTATGTGAAAC